AATCTTTAAAAATATGCAAATAAGTCCTATCTTATTTGAATCTTGTAATTACTTTCCAAGGTGCCACCAACCCTAGAATCCCCAGATGCTAAAAACATTTTATTTTTCTGTGACTATTTCTTTGTACAAACTCAAATGGTATTTTTAAATTTGAGTGATAAATACCAGAGTATATAAAGAAAGCCTAAAACATAATAAGCATTTTTTTAAAAAGTATCAAAGACATAAAGGCAACTAGGAAGGTGAACAGAGTTTGAATAAACGTGTATGAGTAACTTACATGTTTGTTTGTGGGGAGAAATGTGCTTTAATGAAAAGAATACAGTACCTTACTATTCATCACACCTGTGCCCTCCCCACAATCTCAGGCTAAGAAACTAAGTAGTCTTTGGATGATCATAATGGTTGTCCAGCCTGTCTTAACCACTCTTCATAAGGCAAGCCCTAGTAAAGGATGGCTGTGTGGATCCCAGGCATCTTTTTGTCCCTAAGGCTCTGAGATTTTTATAGTCCTTACACCACTGCTCAGCCTAATGAGCCCTGGGATTCCCTAGGCTGCTGCTGTTTGAGTTGACTCCATCTCACTTCTAATGCTAGAAAGCTGAACAGGAATCTGTAGGCTTCAAAGTCTGAGGCCTGAAGCAGAGACCAGCCCATTTTTAAAATTTACTTTGGGTTAATTTGGACCCTCATTTGCCAATCAACTCACATGTCTCAGTCTATAGTTGAGAAAAAAGCCTGTCTGGTTTTATCTCAACAACGCTCCCCAAGTGGCAGAAGCTAAAGTGTCAACACCAAGCTACCTGTAGAGAAGACACATTGGTCCCCCTTCCACAGAGCCTGATACAAATCTAAGTGTCTGAGGACACCTCAGGCAGCTTATCTGGGGGTTCATAGATATGCATAGCTGTTGTTCTTAGTAATTCAATATTTTTAATATTTTACTTATTTTTATTTAATGTGTACGAGTGTATTGCCTGCATGTAGGTAAGTGCACCCGTGTTGTGCAATGCAGTCACCACCAGCAGTGGCTGCCCCTCCATTCTCATGGGTGCCGCTCCTTTGTTCTCACAGGTGTTGAGGCTGCTCCTCCGCTCACTCTGGACTGAGGCCGCTCTTCTGCCTGCCCTGGACTGAGGCCACTCTTTCGCTCGCCTGGTGCTGAAGCAGCTCTTTTGCTTGCCCTGTACTGCCTCCTATTGTTGCTGCTTCTGCCCAGTCCCAGACCCCAGGACTGGTGAGGAGACTGTGTCAGTGGAGCCACATTCAGACACAGGAGACCAGGTTCAGTGACACAGGTCTGGTTTATTGCAGGAAGGCACAAACTTATATAGGGGTAGTGGTCCAATCACATCACAGCAAGTAGGATACCTCATTAGCATAACAGGTTTAGCATCCTATCACAGTACAGCAAGTAGGACACCTTATTAGCATCATCCTATTAGCATAACAGACAATGTCCTATCACAGAATAGAATGTAGGATGCCTCATTAGCATACTGGGTTTTAGATTACAGAGCCTGGATTCCTGGAAACCTGACAGTTGCAATATCACCCTAGGCTCAAGCTTGTCTCCCACAGTGCAATTCCCTTGGAGGTCAGATGAGGCTGTCAGATCCCCCAGAACTGGAGTTACAGACAGTTGTTAGCTACTATGTAGGTGCTGGGATTTGAACCTGGGTCTTCTGCAAGAGCAACCAGTGTTCTTAACCGTTGAGCCATCTCTCCAGGCCCAGTAATTGAATATTTTTATAAATTATGTCATCAAAATGCAACCGTTAATAGCAAAATATACAGTATACAAATGAATGAATTTTTGACCTGTCTCTGACACATTGCAACTCTGAACCACAGTAGTAAATTATCTTCTCTCATGAGCAGAGAAAGATAGATGTTTGATATCTGAAAGTTGTCTGTTGCACGTAAGTATCTCAGCAGAGAAGCAATGGCACACATTTAATAAACACTAATCACAAACATCCCTCTCCATATTTTGTAAAGTAAATATAAACACCTTACATTGGTCTAAAAACATTAAATATCTTATCAAACAATTAATGTCTTTTGTTGTATTTTATACATAGTCAACTATAAAATATGCCTGATAACTAATATTCTGTATCTTTCAGAAATAAATACACTTCTCACTCAAGTTCAAGAAACCATAGGGAAGATTGCCTCTGCACTGGTGCCTGCACTCACATGTGCACACATATGTGTGCATGCACACACATGCACACACACACACATGATTAACATATGAAAGAACCCTGGTGGAAGAAATAATGGAAACCCTTCCCCACCAGGTCACTTGTAACAGGAGAGGATATGGATGGGAAAAGTCTCATATTCCCTAATCTCCAAGTGCAAGAGAAGGCAAGTGCTAAATAACTGACTCCAAAGGGCCATGACACTGAGACCCAGAGATTTTGTGACACAGACCTATTCCAGCTCTCTAACTGGCATTCTTAGGAGCGCCTATCTCTTCCTTAACAAACTATCTCCATCTATTACTATCCATGAGCCCCTGGTGAAATCATTTGTTACAGGACACAAGAACCTAGAAATCTTCGCAGGTGCCCTTTGACAAAGATTTGTACCTATAATACCTATAACTATTGTAGCAGGTGGTGCCACCAGACAGGAGGTGGGATCCAAACCATTCTTCCTTTCCTTTACCTCAACATTTCACTTTCCCCAGAACACTTGGAAGTGGTAAGCAAGCTTTCATGGCAGATCTGATGGTAACCTGGGAGAACCATATTCATCAGCATTTCCCTTTCTTGTCTTTACTATCTATGACACACCCAGGGGCCAAGGGTGCGTCTGGACACTCTCACTCCACCCTACTTGGACTTTAGCTGAGCTGATACTAAGAAGAGAGGTGCAGGCATTGGGTAGTAGCTGCCAGATCCACACAATTAAACTCCGAGGCAGCTGTCCAGGAGAAAAGGCCTTTAAATAGGCTCGTGAAGAACCACAGTGATTCTGGCTGAGCCTGGCTGACACAAGGAATCAAATCAACTAGGAACTCAGGTAGCTGATGATAATTGGGCTCATGCACATGCTGAGTTGCCTGCCAACCAAAGGTAAGAGGAAATTTCTTGTTCAACTAAGGACTGTGCTACTCACATGGACCATCAAGACAGTGATCATGTAGGGAACTAAGACAGCAGCACCCACACAGAGGCAGCCATGATGGTGCTAATAAAAGCAATGATGGCACGTGGCTGCTTGGGGTCCACAGCACCACAAAATCCTCTGCGCACCACAGTATCTGCAGATTTTCCTGTGCTTCTGGAAGTGCTGGCCTACTTCTTCTTTTAGTTTTCTAATTTCCATCTTTTTTTCCTTTCACCTTCCCAGAGGCCATCCAGGATGAACAGAAGAGCAGACTCACACAGGGCTCCAATGAGGGCACTGTTATCCCTCTGTTCTGCACCCTCAACCAATATAATTCCACAGAAACTGATTCCTGCCCAAGGGCTTGTGGGGGAAGCTAACACCATTGCCTACAGAGTTCTAATACTCACCAGTTTTGTGTGTGAATCCCACCAGGCACCGTAAATTCACCCTGTTCATTTACTGCAGACAGTACTATCACTAACCTTAGATGCAGTCCCCCAGGTAATAAGGCATTCCCCTATGCATGAGAAAAACAGAACTTACCCACTGAACAAATTTACCAGAGTAGTGATCTAAAATAAAAGCCACTCATAAAATCAAGTTTCTTTTCTGAATGTAGTAGTTCAGTAGTTTAAGTGTTTTTAGAGCTTCATTGGATATCTTATTCCACGAAGATAAAATTGCTCATTGCAGGAGCCTGCATCCAGTATTGGGGGACTTAGTCTCAAGAGAGAGACAACATAAGTAGCTGGTATAAAGACTGGTGGGTGCAGGCCCAGCCAAGGAGGCAGGCGCAGATATAGCCAGAGATTTGGGTCGTTATTCCCAATCACCACTAGGCTGGACTAAGCAGCTACAGGCAGTCCCACCAAGTTCATCAGGGTGAGGGAGATGCACATAGGCCCCATGGAAGTACCTCAGGAAGAGGCAGCCAAAAATCAATACAAACAGGAAAAATCTTTTCATGGTGTATTGGACTTTGCTAATAGTTTACTTTAGTATCTTCTAAATTGGAAGGTTCTGTGATCATCTGACCCTTGCTAGGAATGGATGACAACAGACAGAGTGCTTCCCCAAGGTTATCTCCAAAACCTCACTATCATTATGGGATGGTGGTTCAAGACCTCAGGTCATGGTCCTGCCCATCCTCTGTAGAAAGGTTTTGTTCTATACAGATAATATAAAGTATCTCAGGAAGAGGCAGCCAAAAATCGATACAAACAAGAAAAATCTTTTCATGGTGTATTGGACTTTGCTAATAGTTTACTTTAGTATCTTCTAAATTGGAAGGTTCTGTGATCATCTGACCCTTGCTAGGAATGGATGACAACAGACAGAGTGCTTCCCCAAGGTTATCTCCAAAACCTCACTATCATTATGGGATGGTGGTTCAAGACCTCAGGTCATGGTCCTGCCCATCTTCTGTAGAAAGGTTTTGTTCTACACAGATAATATAAAGCTAACTCTTAAATATTTTTCAGATTTATAGACCCATCTGAGAGATTTCTGACTGCATCTAAAGTAGTAAAGATTTTGAAAATTCACAAACAAGGGTATCTTGTGAGAGTAAAAACATATGCTCCCAAAAAGCCATCAGATATAATATCCCAGTGTCAGGGGCAGGTTACCTCTCTAGGATTGTTGGCCAGGGAGGCCCTAGAGGCCCCTGAAATGGCTATTGTATTGTTGTTGATTGAATTCCAAAACTGAATGATAAGTAAGACTCTAAAGCTGAAGGCATCACATGCTTTGGTTTTACAGCTGAGAGGAGTGAGGCTGGGACTGAGCTGGAAGAGTCCCTCCCTGGGGTGCCAGAAGGCAATACTCATGCTGCTGGGGAAAATGATGGCCCAGCGTCCTATTCAGCTGTGGATTGTGCGTGACTCATGACGGAGGTGCCAGGCAAGATGTGCCAACTAGTGCAATAGTGACACAAGTGTTATAGGAGAGCCACCTTTCTGGTTGTATCTAAGGCTGTTCCACAGAGGAAAGTTCATATCTGGCATTGGGAACTTAGAAATAACTGTGACCAGGGAATTAAGAGGCCCCAGTGGGAAAACAGTTTCTATAACTTTAGTAAACAAATATGATACACTGGCTGGGGTGCTTCCCAATATGTGTGTTGATGACCTTGTTAGTACTGCTGTTAGTGTTCATTTAGATAATTTTTGTTTCTCACTTTCTGCCTTTTCCTCACTTGTATTTTTTAAATATATTTTTATTATTTTTATTTTATGTGTGCATGTGTATTGCTTGCATGTATGTAAGTGCACCCATGTCCTGCAATGTCTGAGGAAGACAGAAGAGTCACAGACGGTTGTTAGCTGCCTTCTGTGTGCTGAGATTCAAACGCAGGTCTACTGCAAGAGCAGTCAGTGGTCTTAACTGCTGAACCATCTCTCCAACCCCCCTCTACTGTGTTTTATAACAAAAGAAATATCACCAAGACTTGCCACCAGGCATGCTCTGGAAAGAAATAAATAAAAGTCACGAAGGTTCAGAAGTCCACTAGAATTGGAGGGCCATAATCAGATATCTATGTCACCCCTCCAAGGCGCACAGACCATTGTGAAAGAGGATTTGGAAAGAATGTAAGAGTCAGAGGAGAGTGGATTGTTGTGTAGAAGTTTCCTTAGAGATCAGACATTCCATATTGAAGGGAAACTCCAAAGAGAGGTGAGCATTCCATCTAGAAGGCCTCAGGAAGTCTCTGAAACTACCAAATATACTAGGCCCCTCCCTTTTTTAAGCATAAATAAGCAGTAAGGAGAGCTGAGAGATTTTCTCAGACCAGCGGAGCTCCCTGGAAAACAAGGAGACAAGCAGAGCCACCTGGGGAAGGCTTGTATCAACTGAATTGCTGGGGAAAGACTACGTTGTTGAGCTGCCTGAAAGTTGCCCAGTGCATCCCAGGTGTCCAGTTTTCATGAGCCACCATCTATGCTGGGCTTTTAGTTGTTAGTGAGTCAATTCTATTCCTGTAAATAACCCCTTACCTACAACACCACTCCTTGACTGTTCCTACCACCATGTCCCCAGCTCAAATTTATGTATTTATTTTGTTTTTCTTTTTTCTTCATGAACTGAGTTTAAGAGCCAGTGATGTGAGCATTGGCTGTGAAGCTTTGGACTGGAGCATGAGGACTTCGGCACTGACTACGTCTCTGAAGACAGTAACAATGATGTCAAGTATGCCCCCCAAAATCATGAACATGAAAATGTTTTGGGTTAATCAAAATGCCTCTAAACAATTTACATTAAATACCCTTTTATTAGATTGTTAGGGAATTTTCAATTCCAAAACTAAGTTGCTTATGTCTGCCCATCTTTCTTACAGCCTTTTCAGTGATCAGGTTGGGCTCGGTGATTTTAGAATATGAAATCTTCTCTATTTATATTAATAGTTAGATCTTTTAAAGTACAGAATTTGGATTAAGGATTCTTTAATGCTATGGAGAAAATAATCAGATCATTAGTCCAATTTAACTGAAAGGTGATACACCTTTGGATTTACCTTTTGTATGAATATTAATATTTATATATTATCTATGATGCTTGTGTTTGTATATTGTTGAAATGTTACTGAAGGTTTATAAGTGAGTAGTCACATAAATTAAAATTGTTAAATTAGTCTAAAATTCCTTTTAGTTCAGAGTATAAAAGTTTTCTAAAAGAGCCCCAAGCCCAGGCCCCCTCCAATGGCCTAAGTTTGGCCACCTGCCCTAATAAGCTAACTAAAGAGGCAGAAATGTCAACACATAAAGAAAGTAAATTAGTCAATGTGACCATGCTGGGGGAACATATAGAGAGATAAGCTCAAGTCTGTCTCTGCAATAAATATGTGACCTTCAAATTTACATTGGAGCAAGGCACAATATACATAAATTTAGGCTAACCTGGTTAAAATGTGGTTTTCCTGGTCATTTTCTTGGTTCTGCTTCCACAATACGGTAAAAAGAAATTTTTGTTCTTTAGGGGGAATGGAGTTGCTCTCTAGTTTTCCTGATCAGGATACATCTTTATCCTCACAGATAATGTTTCTCATTTGGGGAGTGGTCCTGCTAGGCTTGCTGGTTCACCATTCAATGAGTAATTAATAAGTCTACCCACAAAGGTAAGCAGTTAACTCAGTAGTAAGATGACAATCAGAACTAGACAGTCCAAGTTAACATTAAAATTGTGCTTTGGGGATTTTCAGCAGCAGAACTAGAATAAAGACAGTCCAAAAGACCCAGAGGAAATTATTAAGATGCAAGAACAAGTCCAGCTGGCATCCTTAGCCCTGGAAAATGATTTATTTTTCCTAGGCAGATAAGTATCATCTACCCCAGAGAAACCTCTAGCTGAAGAGAGATTACATAGGGGCAATGTTTGACCCAGCTGTGGGAAATGAAGTCACTAAAACATACTGCCTAGCATGGGTTTTTAACAAACAAGGCTTTGAACAATCAACAAAAAGGGAAATATTTGTAAGGGATTATGTTCTCCTTTCCCCTTTACTTTAGTTCAATGATGGCTGCCCTTAAAGACTGATATTCCTCAACATTTTCCTCTAAAAGCCTCACTTAAGTGACTTCAGATAACCACCAGGTGCCTTGGGTGGTTCCTGACATAATAGAACTTTGTTTTCTGTCTT